CCCCCAATCCTCTCCCCTACTATACTTTCTCACTACCCCTCTCACCGCCCCTCTCACCACCCCGCCCAATCCGCCGCCAGAACCGCTCATCCATCGCTCTACGATTATGTACTTTTTATGCTAGAAAGCCGATTGGCTTTATTTCCTTAATTCGATTCGATTACAAAGTGCGACTGTTGGAAATTCAAGTGCTGCACGAAAAGTAAAGAATAAATCATTGGTCGCCGTTATAGTTTCAAGAACATCGACGATTCGCTCGAAGCTGAGTAACAACAGTAGATAAATCGCCGAGGCGAGAATCGCAGCTGTGCAGCTAAAGCGATTATGCTTGTCAAAAAAGAATCCTTTTAACGTAAAATCACAATTTGTTTATTCGAAGCTGGTCGTATGCGAATTCTTCTCAATCTTTCAAAAGTGATAATTTTACTTTTTGTCTAAATTTAAGAACTCAGATTGAAATCGGTTTTGTGCTTAGCACGTTGTTGAAGATAACGGCGCTTGAGACAAGAGGATGTTTTTCTCGAATTAATATGCTGACATTAGATTACATAAAAAGCAATACCTTATCGTGCAATTGAAATTTCATCAAACACGTATTTTTAAATGGAATGCAGTGTCATTTCGTATATTTGGTAACGATATTAATATAATATTATCTAATAGCGTAAAGACGAACGGTGCATTATCAACCTTTTACATTTAGAAAGGAAGAAGAAAATGCAAAGAACAAGAATCTTGTACATTTGCTGTTGATATTGAAAGACACGCTTAGTGCATATAAATCTTTACTAATGCGTCTCTGTCTATTAATCTCTCGGACTAAAAATCCAGCTAAATGGCATTGACTTTACATTTCTGGTACATCATTGTTCAAACACCACCTGTGCATATATTTTCCCTTTTTTTATTTATTAATTAATTTACTTATTTATTGTAATTTTGTTTTGTTTTGTTTTTTTTTTCGAGTTTCAATTGACAATCTAAGTTGTAAAAGAGGAAAAGCGAGAGAGAGAGAGAGAGAGAGAGAGAGAGAGAGAGAGAGAATGATAAAAAGTAGAAAGATAGCAAGACTTCGATTGATTGTCGGATCAAGTCACTTAACTCCGTTAGCCTCGCGCAGTCCATGCTCTCATTTCTCTCTTTCTCTTTCATTCTTGTGTATATATAAGCGCAGTACTAAACGCTTGCGCTTGGGCATATGGGTGTAGTTTAGCCGAACATAGCTCGCACGACACATACATGCATTGCGTATAACTGGAGCAGTCGCGAGCAGCTCAACGAACTCCTTTTCGACGTTCTCGTCACCGTCAAGAGCAACGGCGATGACGATGGCAACGAATATGTTGCGCATTGACGATGACAGAGATCGGCTATAATCAAAACATCAATTCTCCTGCATTTTATCAAATTTTTAATATAAAAAAAGAGCCGTGAATTGTTCACTTCATTGAATGCAAGATCAGCGAATTTGTCAATGCTCCTCTTAATGTGAATTCTTCTTTTTGAAATCAATTTATATCAATTGTCGTGCTAATAATTACATCTAGTGGTAGGACAATTAACACAAAATTAACATTCATAATGACAGTGTAAAATAAAAATGCTCCAACATTGCAACATAATTTGCATAAGCTTTGGAGCTTGCATTTTTGTATTATTGTGCCCCTATTGATTTTTTTTTATTTTATTCACATTTCTATTGACATTAGTTTCTCAAATTAGAGGATAAATTTAACAATTTTTTAAGATGTCATAATATTCTTTATATATCGAAGAAATGTTTCGTGCAATAAATATAATTTAAAGCTTTTTTCTTTTTTAAAGAATTAGAAGCTACATAGGAATCAGAATTTATTCTAGATAAACAGATGCTTCATTCAGCTTTTCAAAATGGTAATAAAATTGAATTTACACTCTTTATATGAATTTTACTTTTTCTTTTATTTTATTGTTATTTTTCTTTAATATATATATATATATATATATATATATATATAAATACTAAACAAAACTTACAAATGACAATAAAAAATTACTACGTGAAATATTCTATTTATTCTAATGTAAAAATAATTGTATTAATGATTTAAAATTTTCGTAAATTTATAAATATTATTTTCACCTTTTTAAATTTGTTCGACTATTAATTTAATATTAGAAGCAGTATTTTAATATTTTATGAAATATTTATTTAAGAAACTTACGTTCAATAGCATTGCAATCGAGTAAAAGAGAATTTTTTTTCTATTTTTTTTTTTATTTTTTTTTTTTTAAATAAAATTTAAGAATTTTCTAAGAGGAACGTACAAATATGTGTAATCGAATCTACATAAATAAGTGTATGTATACTTGACAATAACGCAATATAAATATGTAAATAAAAAAGCACTAACAATGTCATAATTAGTAAATTGATGTTGTTATAATCATGCTAATATGACATTAATTCTACGCAAATATTTGAAAAATTTAATTAAAAATACTTTCTGATCGTTTTGTTAATATTTCAGTACATATTATTCTAATGAATTCTCAATGTTAATAAATAAATAATTTATAGAAATATAATAAAAAGCTTAATTTTTTAGTAAACAGACTTCTTATATAATTTGTGAACTTAAATTTTACAATTTAATTATAACTTTGACTTTTAAACATTATTATTATTATTATTATTATTATTA